ATTTAATATTCGCAAAGCAAACAAATCACGTATTAGCAAAAAATACGAAAAAACACGGCCATAAGCATGAACGGTCAGAAAAACCGCGCGTTTTAGGCTGCTTTTTCTGAGTTTTTGGAAGTTTAAGATAAAACTAAGACGTCATACCTCAGGAATTATTTAAACCCATGCAAAATACATCTGTATGCGAAGTTTCAAGAAGATTGAACGTTTTAAGGTCGAAAAAAAAAGCATTTGAAAATTGACAAAAATATTGCCATATTCAAAGTGCTCATAGTGGCCAACTAGATGCCGATGACGAAAATAACATCACTTGAAAAACGCCAATTTATTTATGTTTAAGAGCGACTAAAACAAGGACTAAAAGCTCAGGATCAATAACAATACCTGGGGTTTAGTACAACATAAGTTTTGGGACTGTCAAAATGTTTTATAGTATATATTTTTGAGTTGAACGGCGAGATTTCCTTCGGCACATCCAAACTTCCGTCATTTTTTCAAAATACAAAAGCAAAATTCCTTACTTTTTGCTGCAGAGAGATGTAAAACAGTCGGAACTAATCGGAAACTTGGTTTAAATCCCAAGTCATTGTTGTATTCCCATGGGAAAAGTGTTTTTCTTGCAAATTTTTGCTCGAAAACAAACTTTTGACAGAATTTTTTTCACTCCTTGAAACTCTCCTTAGTCCTTTTGAAAGCTGATTTTCCCGCGCGCCGGCTTCAACGAATCATAGACTTTCATCATAGGAGTTAGCCTTCCAGTTATTATTAGAGTTCACTGGTGTAGTCTTGCTGGATTAACTTCTACCAAGCCCTGTTACTGTCATGACAACAACTTTGTTACAACCTGTTTACAAATCTGTAACAACTTGCGTGTTTTTACGTGTGTAGTACATGTCAATCTCCAAAGAAAGTGCATGTGCGGACAACATGAAACTTTAGATTGCAGAAAATTGCACAAGCATTTATCAAACTCATGTCACAGAAGTGCTAAAGGACATGTGTGGCAACTGAACGTTATCCCTTTGTAAAGTTTTTTTTTGCCAGGGTGGGTACTTGATATTTGAGGTTGGGTAAAATTTTTTTTAATATTTAATGCTTGGATCAGAGAAGTTTTTATCAAGAAAAACATTTATCTTCGATACTCCCCCCCCCCACCCCCCCC